TATTAAGAAAATTATGGAATGTGCTGAGATGAGTAAATTGACATTTGAAATTAGAGAGCAAAAGCAAACAATTTTATATGATATGGGATCTGTTTTATCAATGGTTGGACGAAAAGATATAGTAATGTAATAGAATTATATAAGTTATATAATAGAAACTCGATAAATTGATATAAATTACTATATATGTGTGTATATATATATAATCAATGGATAAAAATGATACAAATCTTATAATGAAAGCTGGTGTTATAGACTAGTAATAAACAAATAATAATTGATAACTGATAAATATATAAATATATGTTGGATAGATAATATGAGACACTATATAAATGGTGAGTGAAGACTATGAAAGGATGGCACAAATGATTGGTAACTGGCTGACACACGGTTTAAGATAGAAGATGGTTTTTATGTTTTTTATGCTCTTGTTTGTCTATGTATGTTTGTGTTTGTTGTAAAAAATAAAAAACTTTAATAAACAAATAATAATTGATAACTGATAAATATATAAATATATGTTGGATAGATAATATGAGACACTATATAAATGGTGAGTGAAGACTATGAAAGGATGGCACAAATGATTGGTAACTGGCTGACACACGGTTTAAGATAGAAGATGGTTTTTATGTTTTTTATGCTCTTGTTTGTCTATGTATGTTTGTGTTTGTTGTAAAAAATAAAAAACTTTAAAATAAAAAAAAAAGCATTTCTATCCTATTTTTCAGCCAGAAAATCTCTAAAGGCAACATACAAATGTATCAAAATAATATATTAAGGTTCAGTAGCATTTGCTATTTATACTTTTACATAAAATATGCTTTTGAAATGCATCACAAAAGGATAGCACAGTGTCAAATGAGTTATTTCTAATCCTTTAGGGCTGAGATAATTGGCCACAATCCTGCATGCTGTACATGGAGAACATGGTATGAAAAGTGTTCCACTATCATTTCTCCTCTCCCACTGGCTGATTTTATGCATTGTTCCTGATATTTTAAACACTACAGGTAGTTCTCACTTATCAACTGCAATTGAGACTGGCAACTCCGTCACTAAGTGACATGGTGGTAAAGTGAAACATCACATGACTGTGCCCAATTTATGCTATCAGTTCAAAATCAGCATGACATCATGTAACTGTGACTTCCTGCCTTGACTTTGTTTGTCAGAAGTCTGTGAAGGTCACAAATGGCGACCATGTGACCATGGGATGCTGCAACTGTCATAAATGTATGCTGGTTGCAAAGCACCTGAATCACAATAATGTGACCATGGGGACATGCGACAGTAGCAAATTCGAGGACCGGTCATAAATCTCCTATTTCAGCACCGTCATAACTTTGAACGGTTGCTGAAGCAGCAGTTAGTAAGCAAGGAGAGTTAGTAATACAATCTGTATTTGATGAGTCAACAAGGCCATCTACTTGCAGAGGAGTCCTCCAACATCTTACCTTTAAGACTTTGCAAACCGCCCTTCTCTAGGCCCACGGTCTAGCAGGAATGGAGACAGTGTAAGGACCTGATGGGGGAGGGAAGGTTATACTACCATAGAACCCTATGGGAAACATTTCATACACTGTTATCTATGCAAGCAGTGTGCAGGATTTTGGCCTTTGTATGTAAAAAAAGGTTAAATATTCAAAATAATTTTTACAAATTATTCTACAAGTTCATCAAAAATTCAAAAGAAAGAAGAAATACTTGCCCAAAAGCCACTATAAGCTCATTTAATTTCTGCAGTTTCCATGATTAGTATAACAATTTGTTAAAAACTAATAAAACAATTCTGTAGCTGTATTTTCAGTAATAAACTGCACTGAATTCTACAGATGCATTGTGAATATTTTGAGAAACACAATAAGACAAGAATGTGTTTTTGCCTTGAAATGGAGTATGATGTACGAAATACACAGAGCCCAAAAATGAACTTTCCTGGATCCATCTAAGAAGGGCACTACAGCTATAATTCTGCCACACAACTGCCTTCCAACATCTTGCTGCTTCTAAACATGGAGATTCAATTTAGCCTAGGACTAACAGATATCTTCTGTTACAAAACTTTATTGGTGTTTTAGATTTATCTCCTCTGCATTTCATCCTTCTGAATTCAAGTTTTATTAGAATAATTAAAAAATAAAATAAAACTGTAAATGTATCCTTTACATGCTTCCTATTTAATAGTTGTGAGAAGGAATGAGGAAGCACAGAAGGTAATACTATCCTCAGTTATAAACTCTGAGATGAAGCAACTGAAGGAGCTGAATGATGAGCCAATATTTTATACATTTGGAGGAGGGAAGGGATAAAGGATTTAATAGGAAGCCTTTGGACATAGGTCTTCTGGAACTCTTTTTCCATGTAATAATACAGGGGAAAAAATCACAATACAAGATTTATTGCAGAAATGCAAACATATAAAACCTCTTTTTAACTCTCAAAATTCTTATCTAGACATCCACTGGCTTTTCAACAAAGTGATTGGCAAGTTTACACCAAAATATGAAAGATAAAAAGGAATTGCATTTGTTTCCCTTTCTGCTATACATAGTTCTTTTATATAAAATTATACAAAAGAAGAAGCACCTAAAGAAATGACCTGTGTCTGAAGTATGTTGGGTTTGATATTAAGCATACTAATAGAAATTCCTCCTCTTTTTATTCTTTCCTTTTTGTTTGCATATTTCTCATATGGAAATGTGTTTAGTAACTCAGAGAAAAGATAAATGGAATGGTAGACAACATAAAACTGGAAGACAGCAAACAATAATATTAGCATTTTAACTCCTGGAAAATAGGTGTTTTGTGATTATCCTTAACTAGCAAGGTAGCAATTTCTTGACTATACAAATTTTATTTATTTATTTTAGTTTTATTTATATATCAAATTTGTCACCGCCCATTTCATTAACCCATGGAAGCCATTTTGGGTGTGTGTCTCAAAAATAAGTGTGCCTATTGATCCCAAAGATTGCCTTTAGCTGCTATTTTTCAAAGCAATGATCTAAGTAGAAAAATGTTTGGAATCTACTGTCAATCCTCTTGACAGGTTGGTTAAAATTTTTACTGTTATATGAAAAAAAAGCAACAATTATATCTACCCACTTTCTCTAAAGTAGGTATAATTTTAAAAGCTTATTTCATGAACTTACTTAGCCAAAATCATTTTAAACTAAAAACAATTTGCCATTCCCAACTCTATGCTAATCCTTCTGAGATTAAGTGACTGGCATCCACTTAATATTTCAGTTGAAGACATACAGTAAACATACATAATGGCATTCAAATACAGCACTGGCTGTTTTAAGTTGAACCACCACCACAGAAATCTTTCTTAGTTGTTCTACACTAAACTGACAGTTTAAACTATGAGATTAGACTCAGTTTAAATGTAAAATTCACTTTCTGAATCATTTGATATTTTTATTTAACATTCTTAACATATGCAACTAACAAAACAATCTTTAAACTTAAAAAAAAGAAAGAAACTAAAACCAGAGAGACAGACAGACAGACAAAGAGAGAGAGAAACCACAAAAAATACAAACCAAGAAAGAAAAGAAAAAGAATCTACCTTATATTTTATACTTATCAATAGTCACTAGTTTACTAATAAATACACTACTATAATATAATCAGTACAGGTAGTCCTTGGTTAACAACCACTCGCTCAGCAACCATTCAAAGTTACAACAGTGCTAAACAAATGGTTGTTATAATCAGTCCATGAAGTTCTGGCCATCCCAGCACCCCTGCAGTCACGTGATCGTGACTTGCAACCTTCCCTGTTGGCTTCTCACAAGCAAAATCAATAGGCAAGCCAGCAGGGAAGGTTGTAAGTTGCTCAAGTAAGTCTCCCCCACCTGCACACCCTTCCTGAGCTTTGCTGCACTTGTGCTGTGCCTCCCCAGCCACTCACGCACCTTCTCCCATCCAGCAGCAACTACCGCAAGCCCCACTGCACTTGCACCATGCTTTGCCACCACTTACACACCCTCTCTCACCCAACAGCAGTCAACCCAACCCCCACTGTGCTTGCACTGTGCTTCCCCAGCCACCCATGCACCCCTCACTCCCTCTCCCACCCAGCATCAGCCACTTACCTGCCTTCCTGCCAGCCGCCTGGAACTTGCAACTTCCTGCCAGCTTCCCCACAGACTTTGGTTCTTGGAAGCTGGCAGGAAGTTGCAAGGAGGTGCTTACTTAATGATCCATGATCCTCACTTAACTATGGCAAGGGGGACTGCAGAGATTGCTGTTGCTAAGTGATGTGATCATGTGGTGTTGCACTTTATGACCACATCACTTAGCGGTGGAAATTCTGGTCTCAATTGCTGTTGTAACTCGAGGACTACCTATATGAAATATTATTGTAAAACATCACAAAATCTCTGCCATAGTAACATACACTGCTGTATCCTTTGATTAGTGAAAGACATTGCATTTTCCAGAACAGATAGATCACACATTTCTGACAACAATTCCTTAGCATCTGGAATAATATCACATTTTCAATTTCTCAATATGATTCTTTTAATCACTCCCCTTCCTTGATAAAGCCATCATTCCTGATAAACAGTCAAATTCTAAAGCTTTTGTATATAGTTCAACATCGTATTACCAGATCTATCATTTAAAGATTTCCCATAAATCTACTTATATACATTAATACACTATCCCAAAAAGATATCTAATGATTACATGACAATATCATATGGATCAGTGAAGCCTCAAATTTTTTATACCTCCAAATAGAAAATCTAATGTCCATCCTTTCACATACATTCTTTGGGAAGCTCAGTACACCCTATATACTTTTTTGATTGTATATACTTTGAATCAACTTTAATCTCAGATCTGTTGATACCATTTTAATATTTTTAAGGACATGAATCAATTGATTGGAGATTCCAGTTCTTTAGCCCATGTTTGAAATATCCCAGAAATTTCCACTTCAAAAATAAAAAGCCTTTGATAGAGATATGTTAGAGGTTTTATTCTGTCATGGATTCCATCAAGTAAGAAAGCATCTCAAATGCTGAATCATTTGCTATTATCTGAAAATGTAGTTATTGCATTATTCATACTAGATTTCAGGTAACAAATAGCAGTTCATCTACTAGAGGAAGAAGGTTTAAAATGAGTTGCTTGGATTCCATTCCCCTTATGAACTCAGCCATATTAACTTTTATTGCATATACACATACAAACACAAAAGTGCTGAATGCAGTATCTGTATTATATGTAGCAAGAATCTGGACTTTGGCTAACTGACGTGCTTCTTCTGTAAGTATCACATATTTAAAAAATCCCAGTTATTCTCTAGATGTTGAACAGAAAGAGAAAACAGCTGTGATGAAAAGCTATTCATTGAAACAAACCCCAACCCCAAAAAGGTAGAACTTTCCATATACAGTGGAACCTCGGGTTACGAACGCTTCTGTTCACGAACTTTTCAGGTGATGACCAGCTCCGGCCCCAAAATTTTGCTTCGGTTCGCGAACTCCACCTCAGATGGATCTGCGGCCATTTTCCCGCCCGTGACACGTGGTCTGCGGCCATTTTCCTACCCGTGACACGTGGTCTGCGGCCATATTCCCGCCCGTGACACGTGGTCCGCGGCCATTTTCCCGCCTGTGACACGTGGCCCACGGCCATTTTCCGCCCCTGACACGTGGTCCGCGACCATTTTCTGCCCGACACGTGGTCCGCGGCCATTTTTCCGCCCGACACATGGTCCGCGGCCATTTTTCCCCCCGACACATGGTCCGCGGCCATTTTTCCCCCCGACACATGGTCCGCGGCCATTTTTCCCCCCGACACATGGTCCGCGGCCATTTTTCCCCCCGACACATGGTCCGCGGCCATTTTTCCCCCCGACACATGGTCCGCGGCCATTTTTCCCCCCGACACATGGTCCGCGGCCATTTTTCCCCCCGACACATGGTCCGCGGCCATTTTTCCCCCCGACACATGGTCCGCGGCCATTTTTCCCCCCGACACATGGTCCGCGGCCATTTTTCCCCCCGACACATGGTCCGCGGCCATTTTTCCCCCCGACACATGGTCCGCGGCCATTTTTCCGCCCCTGACACGTGGTCTGCTGCCGTTTTTCTGCCCCTGACACGTGGTCCGCGGCCCTTTTCCGCCCCTGACACGTGGTCGTAGGGAGGGGGACTCTCCCTCCAAGCAATAGCCGCCTCCCTGTCCTCCACACCAGAACAGATTAACGGTAATTACATTGAACCTTATGGGAAAATTTGCTGCGGGTTGCGACCAATTCGGGTCACGACCAGAGTCACGGAACGAATTAAGTTCGGGAACCGAGGTTCTACTGTATAACTCATTCAGAGCACATATTTATGTACATATTTATAATTTATATAATAAAAAACCCTCCAATTAAAACTTAGGTGGTTCATCTTGTTTCCTGAACTGAGTCCTCTACGACTTGTTAAAAAATAAAATAGCATCTAAACTCTATTTCATACCTCCAGTTTCAGAAAGCTTGCCTCTGTAAATTTTATCTTCTACCACATCTGTCCAGTATAGTAAGCTTTGATTGAAGTGAAAATCAAGTGCTATTGTATTTCTTAAACCAGGAACTAATAGGCTATAGTCTCGTTTCTGCAGATCAATTCTTCTGATCTCATGCCGAATAGAGAAAATGATGAAAGCTTCAAAAGGATCTGGGAACACAACAGTACATTTTGTGGTAAACCTAATGAGGAGTAGGTCATTATAGTAACAGTACTAAAAAGACATTCATTTGATTAATATTTATAGAATATTCTGACTGTAGAATAGGGATAGAATAACTTTTGTTAAGAAATCAAATGTCAGACTTATCCCTGCCAGATTGGCTGGAGCCAATTAAACAGGTACACACGAATTCAGGAACTTCTGATAAGGAATTTTATTTTAGAAAAGCTAAGAAACCATTATGAAATAATTCCAGTGACGTTTATCAAAATGAAACCTACATATACTGAGTTCAATGTTCAATTACCATGTCTTTTCTTTTACTGGACAGCCCTCTCTTTTAGATGGGCTGTTTTTGATCCCTTGCTTTGGTAATGATATCAGGTTGTTTTCCTCTGACCATGATGGGTACAGTGAGGTACAGTGGGAGACGGGGCAGACTGCATTGGGGAACTCGATCCCAGTGTCTTCTTCCAGTTTTGCATTCCAGGCCCCTGAGCTCAATCTCATTTCCTGGTCAGCAGACTCTCAAAGGCCTAGGCTTCTGGTTGTTGCTGCTAAAGGCCAGGTCAGCCTATAATAAGGCATCCTTCACATGTGATTTAATTGCAGATGAGAGGGCTGACTTGTATTACCAAGACCTGGCTGGACCCAGGAGTGTTTCCCTCTTGTAAATGTGCCCAGCCAGGTTTGGAGTGTGACATCATCCAAGAACTCAGAGCAGGAATGAGGGAGTTTCAGCTGTCATCTGAGAATCTCTAATGGCTTCCAAGGACACTGCTCTACAAGTTACTGGATGTGAGACCTGTTCATTAAGTTGGGCTCTAGGGAACATTTGGAACTGTTGCATACCATTCTCCCTGTCTGAGCTCCTTGACTCCATCTCTGAGTTGGTGGTAGAGATCCCTAGGCTTATGGTCCTGGGAGATTTCAACCTGCCTTCTCTAGGAGGGTCTGAGGCTGCTCAGGAGTTTAGGGCTACCACGAGAGCCATGGGCCCATCCCAGGTCATCCAGGCTCCAACACAGGACAGTGGTTGCAAACCTGATCCAGTTTTCTAGTCAGAGCACTGGCAAAGTGATCTAGAATTGGGGGAGTTCTCTGTGGCTCATCTGTCATGGTCAGATCATACCCTGGTAACCATGAGATTATCTGATGCTTCCCCCATTTGATGGGTTCCAGAAGAAGCTGGGGGTTGCTCCTGATGGTCTGCTGCATTGTCTGATTGAGACCTTGGTTGCCACTTGGAATAAGAGGGTGGCAGAGGCTTTAGATTAGATTGCACCAATGCAACCTCTCTGTTCCTGCAGATCCTGTCATTTCCTGTAGTTTATGTAATTCCTGAGGGAGATGAAATGGGCTAAGAGATATGTAGAGAGCTGCTGGAGGTCAACAAAGAGTGAACTCAGCCAAACACAGGTGAGAGCTGCTATCAGGACCTATCTTGTGGCGGTAAGGGCTGAGAAACATCAGTACTTCTTCACTCTTATTGCATCCACAGATAGCCAGCCAGCAGCCTTATTTAGGGTGGCCCAAGCCCTCTTCAGCAGAGAGAATTTGGAGGTTTACCTACAGAGCCATGTGAAGGAATATGCAGACCATCTGTCAGATAAAATCACTGGGATCCACTCCCAGTTGGACACCAGCTTATGATACCGTTGGCAAATTAAGTGATGCTGCTGAGGTACTGTCTTGATGTTTGGAGGCTGTGTGGGTTTGGATGGGGAAGAACAGGCTTTGGCTTGACAAGACTAAGTGGCTTTGGGTATTGGGGCCTCCAGGATCTGGGAACTTACCATCTTTGGTGCTGGCTGGAGTGGCACTGCCCCAAAAAGACCCTATGTGCAATCTGGGGGTCCTTCTCAATTCACAACTCCTGCTCAAGGAGCAGGTGGCAGACATGGCTAAGAGGGCCTTTGAACAACTTCAGGTTGTGTACCAGTTGTGCCTGTCCTGAATTGGGATGCTCTACTTTCTGTTATTCATGCCCTGCTCATCTCCCAGATGGATTACTATAATGTGCTCTACATGGAGCAGCTCTTGAAGAGCATCCAGAAGCTACAGCTGGTCCAAGATGTAGTGGTGTGGGCAGTTATGTGTGCACCTATATCAGCTCATATTACACCTTTGCTCCGCAAGCTGCATTGGTTGCCAGTTTGCTTCCATGTTCAATTCAAGCTAGGTTATGACCTATGAAGCCCTACATGGCATGGGACCAGGTTATTTGAGGGATCTCTCCCCAGTTATATCTACTCCTCCCATTAGATCCAGAAGAAGGGACATGTTGCGGGTCCCATCTACAGAGAAGTTCCATCTGACAGGATCCAGGGAGCCTTTTCTGCTATGGTACCCGCCTTCTGGAACATCGTTCCCCTTAGGTTAGATTGTCCCCAACTTGGCCTTCAGGAAGTCAGACCTGGGGATCTGTGGAGGTAGGGAGCCTGTGAAGTGCTTGTTTTGTTTGTGAGCTGTAGGTTGGCACTTTCTCACACCTTTTTACATTTTAAGTTATATGTTTTAGCTGTTTTAATTGTTTTTAATTTTATTTATATCAGTTTGTTTTTCTTGTTTTAACTTATGACCCACCAAGAGCCATGTATGCGAGATAGGTGGCTATATAAATTGAATGAAATAAATAATCTATGAGATAAATTACTATATTTCTTATACAATTTTTAAAAAGATATATTTCAGCTCAAATTTAATTTTTATGAAAATATGTCATATAGGTAGTCCTCAGGTTACAATGGCAATTGGTGACTGGGATTGCTGTCACTAAGTGATGTGGTTGTAAAACACATCATCATGTGACTGCATTGCTTAGTGATGCCAATCCTGGGCAGCCCTGGTTGCCATCATAACAATGATGCATGGATCATTAAGCAGGAAGAAGCTAGAGTCCAAGATAAGGAGCACAGGGGTGCTGCAGGGGTGCCATAGGAGTGCCGCAGTGGGGGTGGGGGATGCCACGTGTGAGTCACAGAGGCTGCGGAGGGTTGATGCAGGCCACACAAGTCTTGGGAGGCCAGAGGAAGGCTTGGGAGGGCTGGCACTGGCTGCACATGAATTGTGGGAGGCTGGGAGAGGACCTGGGAGGGCTGGCACAGGCCGCAGGCAGACAAGTGCTGTGGGCAAGAGAAAAGGCAAGAGGAGCTTACCGGAGTGACTTGTGATCTTCCCTGCTGGCTTCCCCATGCTTGTGGGAAGCTGGCAGGAAGGTCACAAATGGCAATCTCTCTGTGATGTCATAATAGTAAGCCAGGCACCTGAGTGCCCAGATCATGATCACACGACTGCGGGGATGCTCTGATGGCTGGAACTTTGAGGACCAGTCATATGTCCATTTTTTCAGTGCTGCTGTAATGCTGAACAGTTGCTGAATGAATGGATGTAAGCCAAGGACTACCTGTAATAACATACTATCACTACTGAACTGACATTACTAATTTGAAAAATACATTTAAAAATCTTTGGTTAGTATACTAAGTTAATCACTGGTAAATGTCCAGGTCCTCCTCCCAGTTCAAATTGTTTGAGACTAAAATATTCTTTTATCAAAAATTATCCCTCCACACCAAATTAAAAACATGATGGCAAACTGGAAGAAAATAGGACTAAAATATACAATAGAACGTATATTTTAGAATAAAGCTATACAAAACAATTTAAAACTAAAAAAAAACTTTACCCATGCATTAAAGTATTAAAATGAGGTCCAGGAAATTTTAATACTTATGCAAATTATTTAATCATGCATAAGTGTAACATTTGCCAGAAATGGGGTTGGCTAGCCCCCTAGAGGCCTAGTGTGGCTTCCATTAGCCTCTTGGATTTTTTTTTT